GGGACCTGAGGGCAAGCCAGACTTATGTTGTGGGCTCATGATCAAGCCAGATATGAGCTGTGGGCCCGGTTGGCAAGCCAGACTCACACTGTGGGTTCATGGGTAATCTAGTCTTTTAGCTATGGACCCAGTACATGATGTTGTATATGTTATCTGTTTGTGTGTTGGTACTTTGGGAGAGCTCACTAAGCTTTTGCTTACAGTTTTTAGTTATTATTTCAAGTACTTCCGATGATCGCGGGAAGACGAAGGCGTAACCGTACACATCCTCTGTTTTTTATCTATGGGATACTCTGATATGAAACAATACTTTGAAAACAATGATTTTGTAAACATTCTATGATTTGGGGTTGTTTCAAAAAGTTTAAATTTCTTGTATTTTTTATGGATGTTACACATTAATTTCATTCAATTCATTTTATTTAAAAGAAAATAAAAATATTTTATATGTTTAAAAGGTTTGTGTTTCAGAAATAATAATATATCATATTTTTTATATAAGTTATTATTTCTGAAACACAAACATAAACTTTTTAACATATAAAATATAAAAACATTTGTATAAGTTATTATACAGATATATTTATTTTTATAAAAAATATATGATACATTATTATTTCTGAAACACAAACCTTTTAAACATAGAAAAAAAAATTATTTTCCTTTAATGAAAAAAAAAATAGATGGAATGAATGTTATATTATTCATATGGTTAATTCTTTTAGCATATGTAGCAGTGTGGTTAATTATTAGCTAACATATGTTTTTTAATTTTGCTTTGAAAAATTTATGTCTTTATTAAGAAATATATTCAAAATTCGATAAAACTTAATAACTTTTTAAAATTAAATATCAAAAATTTATATTGAATCATTATAAAATTTACCCTACTTATATTATGAAACAAATCCGAAACATATTTTTACATTTAACTCAAAACCGCATATTTATATTTATAAAATAAAATAACAACATACTATTATTTTTATAATAACATATTTTTTTTACTATAGCACATTATTTTTTTCATAAAAATAAATATATTTGTATAAGAAAAATAACGATAAATCTTGAAAATTAGATCACATAAGAATTAAAAAGAAATAAAATGATGTTTTTATACTTTAATGTTTTTAGCTAAAAAATAGAAAACAAAAATATTTAATCATGCATTGTAGAGCTTAGGTTATTCTATTAAAAGTAATTATTGTGTTATTGTATGCATAAATGTGAGCCAATCAATTTTACTTATTTTAAGTAAGTGATTATTACATATTATTGAATTAAATATAAATCAAAAATACCATCTATTCTAACTAGAAGGGTATTTTAGTCAATTAATATAAATTTAATAACGGAAATTTGCATATTTTAAGGAAAATTGCATATTTTAAGGGAAAATAGATTCTATTAATTTTAAAAATCTGATTGTATGGATGATAATTCTCGTAATTCGTAACATTGTGACGGAATATGTTTATCAATATATTGAAAAATAACAAATATGATTGAACCATACAAGAATACACATTCTGACATAATATATATTTTTATTTAATGAACTTCTTAAAGAATAACAAAATTTTGGATACAAGTTAAAAAAAATTTCATTACATTTTTAGAAAAGAAAAAAATTTATATACTATTCTATGAGAATGTTACATTTATTAATAACAAAGAAATACAATATATAAATCATTCTACCAGATTATACTATTACATATATTTTTTTTCATTATTTTGTACATTATTCTGCTGGAATAAACCATTCTTTTTGGAAGATTGGTGGTCATTGTTCATCTTCATCCCATACAATGTTCATCTTCAAGATTTTATTCTGACAGAATCGGAATTCAAGATTCCATTCCAGTAGAATGTTGTAAGTTTCATATGTATCCTGTTTTGCTTTGATATCTCTCGTTCGTTCCCAGCCAGGAAAACAAGAACATTTTTGTTCTTGATTTCATGTGTACCTGCAAATAAGAAATACAACCACTCATTGATATTGCTTAATCTTCTTTC